TTCTTTTCTTTTTTTTTTTTTTTTTTTTTTTTTTTTTTGTCATCAGGCTTTTTGGCACTTCCATAAATGATCGAGAAGGAAACAAGAGAAAACGGTGAACATTTTTGTATTCTAGTTTGCTACTTTTTCAACGCAAAATGAAACCGGTCTAGATGCCGGTCTAGATGGGAAAATCTAGACCGCGGTCAATATCGATTTCAGCCAATCAAATTCGTGAATTCGGCAGTTCCCAGTCCTTGTGAGACACAGCCATATAATAATAGAGGATAACGCCTGTGCGCGCGTAGATATGGTATATCTCTTCGAGTGTTCAAATTGATGTCTCCCGATTGACGCAGCGAACAAGTGAGATTAAAGTTGAACACGAGGAGAGATATTCCATATCTACAAGCAACCATGTATTATTTTGTTTATTATATAAACATACTGATAACAACGTTTTTGGCGATCTTCCGAAGATTTCCGACCACTTTCCGAAGATTTTCAAAAATGTATCGGAAAGCCACACGAACGTTTCCGAACATTTCCGAAAATTTTCAAAGATTTCTAAAGATAACCGAAGATTGCCGAAGACTTTCGAGTAAGATCCGAAGATGTTTCAATCATACATCGACACATAAGTACAATTTAAGGGATTTATTATGTAACCATAGCGACGGTGATCTTTTCAGACGTGAAAATAACGTTATTTTCACGTGTGAAGATATGTTTTCCCCGCGAAAGCTCACCTGACATTTCATTGGTGTTAAGACGCACGTACTGTTTGCAGTCCCTGTGTGAGCAATGTTTTCTGTTGGAACAGTTTAACTGTGTAGGGTTTTCATTCAATTTGATTATATTTGTTGAGTTTTAAAGTAACAAGAACTAATTTTATCTGTATTTGTAGTAACGAAGGTTCAAATTGTCTGACATTAATAAACAGTTTTGAGGTTAGAAAACTGTCTGCCAGTAGCTTAATTTACTGATTCGAATATTTGCTATATTCTGCGAGCAGGATTACGCTTCGCTTGGCGAATCGCTCGTTGCCAGCGCGTGACTCAATTAAAGGTGAGGCCGCTTCCAGACTAAATTGGCTACGATTTCTTCAACGCCTGCTTATAACATTTAAATTGCCGTTTCTTGGTTCAGGCTTAATCTTATACATCTTGGCTTCAGAGTACTTTTCCATCGATTCCAAACAATTTCGACCTTTGCTGGATACTGAGATTCTCCAAATGTCATACACCGCGCATATACTTCGCCTTAAGATGGTAGCCTTCACCTTGCAGGTAACAGTGGTTCATACTGAATGTTCTGTTAGTATACCCAACCCGAAAAATATTTATCCACAGCAAAGCACATAGAGTATTCGCGATCGCGTACCATTTCTAATAAACATCAATATTTATGCTTTTGTTTATTACAGTTTAAACGTTTATCACCCCCGAAAATTAACACTTGAGATATTTTCTCTTGACACCTTTGCGGTCTTTACGTATTTCCCGGCCGGAACACCGGGACTTTTTACGTTACTCTGCCGTAGATAATCTTGTGTGTATCTAGTTTTCTAACTGCGTTTCGTACCTCTAATTACTAGAATGTTTTGTTGGACTGATAAGTTGTACTAGTGACGTTTCTAATAGCTTTGTTTATGATACGTTGAAAAATTGATATTGGTCGTTGACATATCGATTTGCATCTGAGTCAGTGACAAATTTGCATATTCTGACCCCTAACGATAGTCGCTTCTACGCTTCGCGTATCCACGACTAAAAACCAGTCTCTGTGTTGAAACTCTGTAATATTTTCCGACTTTCAATCCGCGCACAGCTATTTAAAAGCAAGTTCAACCTCCAGTAATTCGTCAACTAGACAACCAATATGACTTAAGCAATCGCTTACAATTTCCAGATATTTAAAGAACGCTTTCCTTCGAAAATCTGTAAACATTTTTCCCAGCTGCCGCGATTATAGTAGAGTCACTGCGTAATATAAACAATCCACGATACAGTCGTTTAGTTTTGTAATATTTTTGCTTTATCAAAAAATATTGGATACGATTTCAAGGAGCACCTCAAAATAAGTGATCTGACCAACTTACAGCTCGGAATCTCGCGTGCAAGTGAAGAGAGCGTTGTTTACAAAACACCGAAATTTATTATTCTCTTGTTATCATGGCCTCGCTTTTCCCAAACAACGGGGATCATCACTTCAAAAGGAACATGGCTGTACATCGAACTAAAACTTTTAGTTTGGTTAAAATAAAACATTGATCAACTACACTACATATTTCACCGCCTCCTTACGATCAATTCGCCAAAATAGTACAACTCAAGGAGCTCAAAAACCACCCCTTAATTTTTCACCCCTTAATTTTTCACTTAATTTTTCCACTTTCGTCGGAAATAGGCGACAAAAAAAGCGCTACTCATTTTAACACATAGTACAAATTTTAATTTACTTAGTCCTTTTAATTAGTTGTAACTGCATTAGTGTCGATGGTAGAGCTTAAATGGGTTGTACATAGTTTGCTCTGCACAAACGTTTCTTGAAAGCTCGTCGATATTGTCTGCTTCTGGCGCAGTAAATCACGGGATTAAAACCTGAATTGCAGAGCGCAAACGTTAACATCAAAGACTCTACAGCTAAAAACGCATCAGGTGAACTAATAAAAGATCCTAGAAAAATTCTAAATAATGCCATGGGTAAATAACACAACAAAACTAATCCAATGACAAATGATGTAGTCTTTAAAGCTTTCTTCGCCTTTAAAAACTTCGCCCTGGCAGACTGAGTCGTAATTTCTCTCATCCGCTTACGAGCTTCGTGATAACTAGCAATGCGACAAAAAACAAGAATAAAAATGGCCAGGAATATAGCGAACACATGATAAAGGCTGTTTAAAACGGAAAGCTTGTAAAAGGGAAACAAAATTGCGAGGAAAACCAGCGACCACGCTAAAACAACACTGACAATTAATCTACGTTTGGTGACAATATTATCGTATTTAAAAGGAAATTTTATCGATATATACCTCTCGATGCTTATAAACGCCAAATGTTGTAGTGAAATCAAAACGAAAGCTCGACTTAAGCGTCTTGCAGCGTGTGGAATAATACAAAACTCTGATGCGGGCCTGCCAGTGAGACGGTAGATTAGTTCAGCAATAAACAGTGGTTGTCCCAATGCACCAGTCATAATGTCGGTTCCTGCCAAACAGGCCAGCAAAGAGTTGTATTTGTTTCTCAGCTGAGGTGTAGTCTTGACGGCAATTATGACCAAGACGTTGAGGAATATCGTTAATGGAGACACGAGCAGATTGACGATTGTTACCAATATCAGAGCAACAGATATTTTGCTGGTAAGAAAGTTTGGACGCCATTCAGGGACAAAGACACCGTCACCTAAAGGTAAGTTGCAACTGGGTGAGTGAGATGAGAAGTTCATTTCTGTCGGGCTTAAATCTCAAAGTGCACTGAGGTGTTTTGAGTGTTATTCTTACAGAAAAACACCGAAAATATTTCCACTGTTTTTCTTTTTGTTTGTTTGTTTTGTTTTCTATCTCTACGCCGCAAGCGAGCCGAGTAGCTTACAAGACTGTTGAACTGAACTCATTGCAGTCTACGTTTAATATCTTCTAGCCGGAAGTGTTCTCAAGCCACCTTTTAAAGAGGAAGAGAATTTTGTCGGGGAAATAGTAACAATTACGATCGATTGGAAGGCTTTTACTAATTACAATTGATAAGCCTTGATTTTTTCAGTAAACGCCGGAGTAACATTGGTTTTTCCTCTTTTATAAGCGCTAAAAAACGCAACCTATTCCGAAAACCCCAATTAACTGAATAGAATGCCTGCAAGAGAATTTCAGAAAAATAGAATCCAATTTTACTTTAGAAGAAGATTTTTCATCTGGAATTAACACCCGTGCGAAATCTCCTAGGCTGTAGTGTCGGCTTTTAGCAACGTTATAAACGGGACTAATGTCAATCGAGTGCTGTAAAAGAGAACGGAGTAAGTGTGCGAAATTCTTTTCAATAAATAAACAATCCAAGCCATCTTCCGCTAATGATAACAACATGATTGAATCTGAGGTGTTCAAATCGAGAATTGCGAATGGGAAAACCACATATAGGAAATGCACATAAATAATAAAGTGAAATCAGTCATTGTATTGTAAAAGAAATGGGGTGATTAGAAAATTAACTGCTTCGATCTACTCGTCAAAGCCGACTAGGACAAAGCAAAGGCTTATCGATCACTTAACAGTTCAAATTTCCTTAAGTGATTTCCCTTGCCAGCTAGCTCATCGTCTTCCTGGCAAATGTATTTTAAGCGAAGCCTAATTGTTTCGGGGATCGATCAAAAGCTTAGCAGAACAATCACTTCAAATTTGTTTGAAGTGGGCCGCTTTTCCTATTTTTTTTTTGGTTAAAAAGGATTTCCTGATCAGAATTTAATCATGTAAATGCAGTTGAAGTTTTTTGGTTTTATCTACACTTAGCGGGAAGTTTATCCAAGGGAGAAATTGAAGTTGTTTCATGATAAGTGTACGATAAGCAATTTTTTCCAGTACGGTTTTTATGCCCAGCCGTATCACACAATTTTTAACTACAAAACATCATATCTACCTCGGAAAACTTAGCGAGAGGGTTTTCCGAAGAAGAAACTGAGGTTGTTTGGTGAAAAGTGGTATGATAATGATCTTTCTACCAGGAGGTTTTTATACCTTGCTGTATCACACGACTTTCCGCTTACCAGCCTGCATACCTACCTTGCAAGACTTAGATCTCAAGACTTAGTTAATCACAGTGGAAAAATCTTCGTGTGCGTCTTCGAAGAATTTAATTCTCGACATAACTTTCTCGACCGTTATCACTTCGTCACTTTACCAGAAAGTTGTAGATCTTTGTAGCTGGAGATCTTAAAATTGCTCAGTTTAACAGTGAATTGAAGAATAATCTACAATGGTTCGGATAATGTTTGGAAAGTGGTTGTCTGAAATTAAAAATTATTTCAGTCATCGCCTAGCTACATGACATAAGGATCGATTTTTTTCATCTTTTTAAGATTTTCTTCTTGTTTTTCCCGGTGCAATTTATCAATGAAAATTGATGATCGATTAAGTAAACGATGGTTATAGATAATTTGTTTGCATATCCCGGCGGCCATCTTGAAGTGGCAAAACGTAGAGGGTTAGTCCTCACTCTGCTTCACTCCTGCTCTCCAGGAAGTTCTTTTTTCTCTCTCCCCAAGCCTCCCATGTTTTCTGCACCTTAGATGACGCGCGCCTAATCAAATGTACTCGGTACCTAAAATTAAGCCTGCATTACAGGCGAGGGACATTTAACTGATAAAGAAGCCTCGACTGTGCTCTGTTGTTGTAAAGCACTCGCAGGAAGCGGTAGAGCACGAAAGAAGTGTAGGGGAAAACACGAGACGTAGTCGAGTGTTTTTCCCTACTTCTTGAGTGTTCTACCGCTTTCTTAATGCTTTACAACAGAACAGGGCACAGTCGAGGCTTCTTTATTTGTTTTATGATAAAGAATCCATTATTTTCCCCACGCATTCGGCTGAATTTTGAAACCAGACTTTATTTTCCAAACTAGTAAAAGTGGCGTCAGCGTGCTCTGTTCTCTGATAAAGCATCCTAAAATAAGCCAATCACAATCCTTGTTAGAATTGTTCAATTAAATAATTTGATTGGCTAACGAGACAAAAGCTTTTACAAAAATATAACTTCTCATCATGAACAGAGACAACTCAATTGGTGTTTTGTGTCGTTGTTTTACATGTAAAGTACAATTTCTGCCTTCGTAACAAGTATAATGTCTTTTATCGAAGTATTCGCTAGGTTGAGAATTTGTTTATTTCACTACTTGTTTTTGTTTTGGAATCTAGCAAAACTTGTACCACTATTGTTAACAATGGTCTCTATGCAGGCATGTTTACTGCAGACAAATAGCTCGTTTCCATTGCGTTTGTCTAGCTGAAGCAGACACATGCAGATTGACGATTGTTACCGATATCAGTGCAATAGTTACCTCCGCTGGTAAGAAAGTTTGGACGCCATTCCGGGACAGAGGCACCACTGGAAGAAAACTGAATCCAACTTAGTGAGTGAGATGAGAAGTTCATTTGTTTCGGGCTTAAATCTCAAAGTGCGCTGAGGTGTTTTGGCTGTTATTCTTACAGACAGACACCAGAAAAGTCAACCATACTTCCAAGGTTTTTTTGTTGTTGAAAAAATAGTTGTTTTTGTCTTTTGATCCAAATTTACCCAACCTGTCTTCCATGAGTAAAATACGTGGTCAGTGTTCAATTCTTACTATTATCAACAAGTTCAGCTACTGATAAGCTGTAAATAAAGATTTGTTCCTCGCAAATGAAAGCTGTTAGCATTAATGCTAATATATAGCTTTCTATTCAACTTGGTTTCTTTACTCTTTACGTACTTACGAAGAAGAGATTTTTAAAAACATTTAACTAAAAAACTGCACTGAAATATTTGTTGACAAAATATTGAGGAAATTTTGTAAAAACAGTGTAGCTCACGTCTTTATCAGGTCAAAATGAGAGTTGATAAAAAATGTATGCGGTAAATACTAAATAAAACGATAATCACAGAGGAAAGAAAGTGATAATAAATGTTAATTTACTTAGTCCTTTTAATTGATTAATATTGTAATGTAACAGCTTTAGTATCAGTAGAACAGCTTAAACCAGTTGTACGTTATTTGCTATGTGCAAAAGTTTCCTGAAAGCTTGTCGATATTGTCTGCTTCTAGCGCAGTAAATCACGGGATTAAATACTGAATTACAGAGCAAAAGCGTTAACATCAAAGACTCTAAAGCAAGAAATGTCTCGGGTGAACTTATAAGAGGTGTAAAAACAACTCTAAATAATGTCATGGGTATATAAAACAAAACTAATCCAATGACAAAATGATGTAGTCTTTAAAACTTTCTTCTGCTTTAAAAACTTCGCCCTGGCAGACTCAGGGAGTCATGATGTTGTTTTCTATCCGCCTACGAGCTTCCTGATAACTAGCAATGTGGCAAAAAAATAAGAATAAAAATGGCCAGGAATCTTGCGAACCCTACCGGAAAGTAGCTTAAAAAGAAAAGTTTGTAACGAACAAAACTAAAATGTGAAAACCAGCGACCACGCTAAAGCACTACAAACAATTAATCCACGTTTGGTGACAATATCATGGTAATTAAAAGGGAATTTTATCGATATCATGACCTCTCGATGCTTATCAACGCCAAATGTTGTAGGGAAATCAAATCGAAAGCTCGACTTAAGCTTCTTGCAACGTTGGGAATGATGCAAAACTCTGATTCGGGGCTGCCAGTGAGACGGTAGATTATTTCAGCAATGAAGATTGGTTGTCCCAGCGCTGACCAGTCATAATATCAGTTCCTGCCAAACAGGCCAACAAAACATTGTATTTGTCTCTCAGCTGAGGTGTAGTCTTGACAGCAAGTATGACCAAGACGTTGAGAAATATCGTTAACGGAGACACGAGCAGATTGACGATTGTTAGCGATATCAGAGCAACGGACATTTCGCTGGTAAGAAAGTTTAGACGCCATTCCGGGAATGAGACACCACTTGAAGCGAACTGACTGCAATTTGGTGAGTGAGAAGAGGAATTCATTTTATCAGTCTCAAATCTCAATGTCCTAATGAGATATTCTGTTTGTTATTCGTAGGGACAGATGTCAAGACGTGGAAAATTCTTCCAATACTTATGGCTCCAAACGTGGAAAGCAAACGATTTAACTGATGCGTTCGAACGCAAGGCCTTGTTTAATATCTTCTCGCTACGGACTGCACTACAGCAAACTTCAAAAGAATTTAATTAATAATTCTGTCGGCTGATTGGAAAACATTAGTTAATTGCATTTCATTGAATTGCCCTGATGATGTAAAAGATCTTCTCTTTTTAAAATGCGCCGAAAACCCCAAGATATGTCATAGGCATATGAATAGATGGTCCATATTAATAGATCGATAGTCCCGTGATGGTTGACGCAACCGTCGTCGATATGGACGTCAGTTGTAGCGATACTTGTGATCGCGTGAAAATTACTCACTCGAGAGTTGAGCGGTTATTGGGTTCAAAAGTAATAAATAATACCAGAATTTTTTTTTTTTCCAAGAGGGCACGGTAACGAATCCTGCAATCTTATTGGTTCTCAGCGAGGTCCCGAATTTCCTATGTCTGCCCACGGTCACGGTAACCTGTGCGCGATGTGTGTCTGGAAAGTGTTTTGAGAGAGAGGAAAAAATAAATAGATCTGTAGAGTGAAATACTATGACTTCGGTCACAGTTTATCACTATACGGACCTCCCATCAGGAAAATAGCATATATGTACTGGATCGTGGTTTGATCCGGGGCTCTGCAGACACTTCTTCAATTTGTAACGATCGGGCCGCTTCTGCGAGCCTGGTCAAAAGAGGTTTCCGCTTTTTCCCCAGTGATCGCAGCGTTCGTATGGAAACAGACTTTAATATAAAGAAAAGGAGAGGAGTTTTTCCCATCGGAAATGCAAACTGCATGTCAGATTTATTCAACAGAAATTCACTAATAAAAGATAAGTATTTCGAGAAAAGTGAATTGAAGGAAAGAGAAGACTTTTTCCATGGGAAATTCGACCTGCCTGCAATTTATCTGTTAAGAAAAGAGTAAAGTTACTGGAAAAGTGATTCGTTTTTAGGGGGCGACTTTAATGCATTTTCTGCGACTCACTGGTTACAATGGATTGTCAAGTTTTCAGATCAAGAATTATGAATTGCGAAAACATGTACATAAAGAAAAATCTTATTAATAGGCAGGTCAAATAGATGTATTGTTGAAAAATAGGTTTATTAGGAAATTAACTACAGGTTTAATCGTCAGCGGCAAAGAGGAAATTCTAAGAAAAGTAACAACAACCTAACAGATCTTTTTTTTTTTTCATTTCTTTTGGCAGGTAGCTCAACATACTCTAAGTAAATTTAAGCTGTTTTCGGGCTGTTCAGAAGATTGTCAGAACAGACACTCCATTAGCACTGGCTTGGAGTGGGCAGCTTTTTATATTTAGTAATTAAGGGTTTGCTAGACTGATTACATAACAGATGCATGCGTTTATAATTTATAATTTTCTTTTAACACATTTTCCCTGAGAGCGACGGTTTTCAGAACGAAAATTTGTGGTTATGCAATGGAAAGCTTTAAGATAAGGCTGGATACTTTTACCAGTCAGGTTTGATACCCCGCCATATCACACAACATCCCGGAAAATAACCTCCAAACTACCTCGGAAAACTTAACTCAAAGCCTATGTAAAAAAATTCTTGAGAATCAAGCTAGTTATCTTTCTGATTAGCCAGCTACGGTCGGTAGGTCTTAGGGTAAACCGCAAGGATTTCTCAACTCTTTCTTTTTGTGGGTCTCCCCTTCTTCCCTTCACTCGGATTTTGTTTCAGAAAAAGAAAACATTTTCCGTATTATAGATACACGAGTGGAATTTTGAGAGAACGACAAATTATGAGGGTCCATGAGCTGAAGGCGAGTGTTTCCACAACTTTTTCAAGTCAGGCTTCCAAAATTAACGAGTGTTTCTTTAACTCGATAGAAACACGAAGGAAATGGTTTCTCAGCTAAATTTTAGAAACATTTGCGAGAAAATGAACGGAAAATCACTCGTTTACTTCGCGCTGTCATTATAACAGCTCTTGCTTGTTTTGTGTTTCTTTTGAGGATTAGAGGTATGACTTTGAACGCGCCCGTTGTTACAGCGTGTTTTCTAAAAATCTTTACAGACGGAAATCAGAGTGAAATCTCGCCAATGAATCAAGGAATAGTTCAGTTATACACTTCGCTTTGTTTCACATTGATAATCGCCCAAAAAAATCATCAAGGAATCGAATATTTCTCCTATTTTAAAGTTCTATTCATGTGTCTCAATATTGGTTTTAATTTACGCCAGCTTTTCTTCGATCAATGTTATAGGGGAAAGTTTAAAAGAATTAGTAAAGTACAAGGGGAAAATAAATATCTTAACCCAATTTAACTCTCAAACTACAAACAAAATTTTGAGCTTGAAGAGCGCGAACCAGGACGAGCGAAAAACAATAATTATCAATCTAGAAAATCTCTTTGCTTTTCCTCGCAGCTGAAATTTCCTTCAGCGAACCCTATGTTTTTAAATATACAAAGCCGCCCACTGTAATTAACTTCTGCCCAGCATTTGAACAAGCCGAACACATATAATTTACCTTCCTTTTAATAAAAAAAATTGCGAAGAAATTGTTGAGCTTGTTGGCAAGAGAAATTAGTAAGGATGATTTTAAAACTTTAAATACACGAAACTTTGCTTAGACCTTCCTAGTCGGTTCTGACGAGTAAACACGCAGTTATCTTTC